AGGGTACCAGTTTTATCTCCCAGATAGTAAATTTTATGCCTGGCACATCTAAGTGTTTTTTCAGCTTTAGTGGTGAGGTCTGTTTCTGTCTTCATTTGCAAATCTTTACTGGAATTTCTCCTCTGCTCTCTGTGAAGAAGCACCAATATCTCGTTCTTGAATATTTATTTATTTCAGGTACTTATATAGCTCTGTCAATTTATGCTGTGCTTTACATATATATATATATAGTACATTCACATCAGTCCCTAACCCTCAAGGGGCATATAATCTAAGGTCCCTAACTCACATTCACATACTAGGGCCAATTTAGACAGGAGCCAATTAACCTACTAGCATGTCTTTAGATTGTGGGAGGAAACCCACACAAGCACAGGGAGAACATGCAAACTCCAGGCAGGTGGTGCCATGGTTGGGATTCAAACCAACTACCCTAGTACTGCCAGGCGGAAGTGCTAACCATTTAGCCACTGTGCTGTCCATATTGAATTTGAGTATCCCCTTTGCTTTGATGGCAACCTTATGGGCTACTGAGTTTGTTGTGGGTGAGGTATATTCTGGCATATTAACCTTAAAGTAATGGGAATTTCTGTCTCAATTTCTTTGTATGAAGGGATTGTAGCCGTATTAGTGCATTTGCGACAGAAACAATTGAGTACTGTCCGTGATACTTTTTTTATTTGCACTAACATACAATAGTACTGCTTAGACCTTGAAGAAGGAGACATGCCCTGAAAGCTTGTCCTCAAAATTGTATGTTAGTGCAAATAAAAAAAGTATCACGGACAGTACTCAATTGTTTTTGTATGAAGGGAAAATTTTTTTTCACTTTTCTGTATCATTATGAGCACGTTCTGTAATATCAACTCAATGACATGTTTCATGTGGCTGATTCTTAAAGGACCTCAAGCAAGTACATGCTTGCTGATGTGCTGCTAAGTTGCATGACTATTTACATTTAAATACTGCATCTTCTCTCCAGGCTGAGCCAGTTTTACTTACACAATATTCACTGTCCACTTTGGAGCCCACTTTTGTTTTCATCTTCCTCCCACCACTCACATCCGCTTATGTCTCCTTCTCATCCTATCAGTGCATCATCATCAACATCTCAATTTGGTATGTTGCATGTAGTGCTAGAGAAAATAAAAGAAGTTTCAAGAAGGATCAAGTGTTCTCTGTACATCTTCCATTGATAAGAGGGAATTTGAAAATCAGTTCAAAGTGTAAAGTCCACTGCTACAATCTATATAGGTGATTGCAACATTTCATAAAAGTTTTTCTGAAAAACTGAAAACAATAATGCATATTATTAATATTTTATTTTAACTGTCAGCCTTTGTTGGAAATCGAATATGTGATTGACAGATTTATTGTTTGAATGCTTGACCCATGACTAAAATCAGAAATATATTTTCTTGTTTTTACTTTGGAGTAAAAGTCAAACTACATGTGTGGAATAAAATAATTATGTGTTAGAAAAATAAAACAGAATATGGGTGCCATTAGCCACCTAACAGCAATAAACGTTATTGTAAATAGTATGCTTTATACATACAGTAAAATATGTATGGGAGATTGAGTGTGACTAAGATAGACAGAACACGGTAATGGTTAAAGAACTTTCAGAATAAAAAGCCTATCACCCAGTGTTGTAAAGTAATTGTACAAATATTTTTATGTAAATATTACAAGAATAAATATCTATTGCTGACACTATAAAATAATAAGTTTGTTACTATGCACTTATATGTATGGAAATTAACACTTTAAAGGATAAGTTCACCTTTGGGAACATGTTACATGTTCCACCCGTTTTTAGGGTGGAATACGTAACATGTTCCCATAGCCACAGCCACCGCCCCCCTCCCTCTGACAGATAGTGTGGGGAGAAGTCTCCCCATACTATCTGTCAAATTTGAAAACAGTGTGGCCAAGTGGGGCTCCACCCACATGGCCACTTCATTCATTCACGGACTTCCATGAATTCATGAACTGCAGGTCATGAAAGCCTTAGTGGCTGCTGTGGAGCACCATGGCAGTTCATTGAAGCTTCCTGTCAGAATGTCTACTTGCTTGTACATCCCATACTGCAAGCAGATATTCTGACAGGTCTGCAGGAGACCCACATGACATCAGTGATCTACGGATCGTTGATGCAATGCTTTCCAGGCTCCTGTAGACAAAAATAATGAATACACATTATTTTACTTGCAAAAAAAATGTGCGTTTATTATTTTTGTCTAAAAGGTGAACTTATCCTTTAATTTGTTTAAGAAGAGCTTTTGGAAGAATAAGACATATCTTATGGGTTGTCACTTAACTAAAAAAGTACAATTTTTAATTTTTTTATGTGTGTAAGAGCCTGTGTTTGACAGACTGGGAGTGGTGCTGCAAGAATAATAAAGGTGGTAAAGGGCTTTTTTACTTTCATTTTGGAGAACATTTATAAAAAGGAAAAAAACTGTGTATGAATTTATTGTTAACAACAGCATATAAAAAACCTAGATTAGTAGATCCTTTTATTTTAATAAAGTTTGATTTGAAGATTGAGACTGGTTAAACGTGACATTGTAGGAACAATATTTTGTCACTTGGCCGAATACTTGGTATACATTTGATGGTAAAGAAAATTAATATTTGTTGACCATTATAGTTAATGAAAAAAAAAGCTTCACTTCTAGATTGGATATGCTTGTCTGTTGCTGTATTGAAAATTAGGGCTACAGTTACTTTGGAACTTTGGACACTCAGTACCTTTAGGGGCTGCCAGTGGCTGGTTTGATATCATCTTCATGAGCACTACTATAATCATCTATTTTCAGAGAGAACTCTGTCCCAGACCTAGCCATTATCTGCTCTGTGTCATCCTTGTTTCCATACTTGAAGAGTTGTTGATATGTAAATTACTAGAGGTCATTGGCTGATTTCTGGGTAAGCCAAGAAGACTGGAAGTAAAGTAAATTCATTTAAAAAAAATGTGCATTGGGCCAGAGACCAGAAGATAATTTTTAGCCAATAACCCTGGGTGCGGTTATTGCAGTATAAAAAACACTATAGGGCTTAATACTAATTGAATAAATAATTTAAATGTATACAACATATACATTTTGCACTTTAATGCTATCAAAATTCACCTTTTCATTTAAATTAACTGTGGCTGTAATTCCCTGCTAGTGTAAAGAGCTTACTGGTCTTCTTAGAAGTCTAGAATGAGGCACTAAGTCTGCACTGAGGACAAATTTAAAGTGGTTCTAAAGACAGAAGGTTTTTTAATCTTAATACATTCTCTGCATTAAGGTAACAAACCTTCTGTGTGCAGTCCCCCCCCCCCCAGCCCCTCCTTATACTTTCCTGAGCCTGATTTCGATCCAGCCCTGTGCCAGAGAGCAGAGGCTCTCTCTGCTCTCTCTTCTCACTGGGCAGATAGGCAACAGTGTGTTAATGGACACAGAGCACAGCTTGAGACTGAGCTCACAAGAGTACCTCCAGAGCAAGCGGCTTCCTATGGGGGAACTCAACAAGGGGGAGGAGCCATGAGCGCCAGAGGGGAACTCCAAAAGAGGAGGATCAAAACTATTGCACAGAGCAGGTAAGTATAACATGTTTGTTATTAAAAAAAATAGGTTTACAATTACTTTAAGGGCATCCCTGAATTACAAGTTTTGCTTTGTTTGCCAGCTACTCCCTAAGGCTCATCCAGTAATGCAGATACAGACAAATTATCTTCTAAAAAGGTATGTATTGCAGATACTTTCCTCATTAGAGAAACAGTAAGTTAGATCCAACTAACCAGGAAAGGAAATCTGCGCACATTAAGGTCGATGATACTGAAGGGAGGGGGGGGGGGGGGGGGGGGGGGTGTGAGCCTTAAGGAACCTTTCAGATTTAGATTTACATATTCCTCTAATCCATGTAGCTACCTTGCTTGCTGTCCTTTATTTCTATGTGTGCTGGACATTGTGCCCATTCCTCATGGGTTGTTTTAAGTATTTAAGGATATGTTAGACCTCACATTGGGGCTACAACTGCTTTCCTCATGTGATTAAACAGACACTGTGTTGTCTGGGTGTTATAATATAATACAAAGCATGATACATGTATCTAGACTTGTAGATAATCAAATAACCCTTGACTTACAGCAACAGTTTGGCCGATAGGAGTACCAAATAAAATTCCATAATGGGAAAAATGCATTGATCATGCACCTATAGTGTCAGGACCAGAAATGTTAACAGCGTTTGTGTCAGTGCCAGTCTCCGTGTGTTTCAGGTAGTATAGAAAAAATGTTTATTTTCATTGTCATCGTATTGCATCATGTGTAGCACATTTGATTTATCAGTTTACTCTCTTTTTGCTTGAATGCTGGTGTTTTAGGTAGGATTAAAAAAAGTTTTTATATTTATATATTTATAAAAGCAAGTTTTATATTTATTACCACTGTGTAGTGCACAGTGCAAGGTGACTGTAGTATATGTATGAATTATATCTGATAATCACTGTTGGAATAATTGCCCTCTCTGCAGGTAAAATGAGCACTATTGCTTTAAGGCCCTACTTTGGGTACAAACAACAAGTAATGCACACATTTGTATTACTCCCAGGAACATGAGGAGTAGCAGAGTATTTTGGATTATACAGTATTTTGATGTATTTTTTGGTGATGGGTTATGGTAATGGCAAGAAATATACAGCCAATTTTTTTTTAATATATTCTTTTTACTATTTTGGGCCAGTTTTCTTTTAATAATAAAACAAATCAGTAATTATCCATAACATTTGTCACAATGATAAAATATATAATAATAAAATATATAATTCACCTTGATACACAATGAAGTTGCAAAGACATCAACAGTTTTGCTAACACATGCCAAAGTTGCAAATTTAAAGTTCAAGCTTTAACCACCTCCCTCCCGCCATATAAGGAAATGACAGGCGCAAGGCGGTTCTCTCGTTCTGGGAGGACGTCATATGACGTCCTCCCATTCTAACTGCGCATATGCGCAGCACCGGGAGTGTGCAGCGTATCAATCGGCGGTGCTCTGTGTCCCTTGGACACAGCGGATCACCGATCAACGGAAAGAGCCGAAGATTTCAGCTCGGTCATGTAATCAGCTGTCTCCAATCACAGCTGATCTCATGTAAATAGGGAAATGCCGTTTATCGGCATTTCTCTCCTCACGAGCTGTCACGCTGACAGCTCGAGAGGAGAGGAGAGCCGGTAATCAGCATTCCTTGGAGGGGACATGTACACTGATCATCAGGGCACTGATGATCAGTGTGCCCTGATGATCAGTGTAGCCCCAGCAGTGCCACCTGTCAGTGTCCATCAATGCTAGCTGTCAGTGCTCATCAATGCTACCTGCCAGTGCCCATCAGTGCCACATCAATGCCACATATCAGTGCTTACCAGTGCACATCAATGCCACATATCAGTGCTCATCTGAGCTGCCTTTCAGTGTCACCTATCAGTGCCAGTCAGTGCCACCTATCAGTGCTGCCAATCAGTGCCACCTATCAGTGCCAGTCAGTGCCACCTATCAGTGCCAGTCAGTGCGGACTATCAATGCGCATCAGTGCCACCTATCAGTGCCCGTCAGTGCTGCCTATCAGTGCCACCTAACAGTGCCAGTCAGTGCCACCTAACAGTGCCAGTCAGTACTGCCTATCAGTGCCAGTCAGTACCGCCTATCAGTGTCACCTATCAGTGCCGCCTATCAATGCCATATATGAGTGCTGCCCTTCAGTGCCCATTATTGATGCCTGTCAATGCCCATCAGTGCCAACTACCAGTGCCTCCTCATCAGTGCCCATCAATGCAGCCTCATTAGTGCATATCAGTGAAGGAGAAAAATCACTTATTTACAAAAGTTTTAAAAAACAACTAAGAAAATACTCTTTTTTTCACAACTTTCAGTTGTTTTTGGTTTGTTTAGCAAAAAATAAAAAACCTAGAGGTGATTAAATACTACCAAAAGAAAGATCTATCTGTCTCAAAAAAAGATAAAAATTTAATTTGGGTACAGTGTTGCATGACCGTGCAATTTTCATTCAAAGTGCAGCAGCACTTAAAACTGAAAATTGGCCTGGGCAGGAAGGGGGTATTAGTGCCCTGTAGGCTAGTGGTTAAAGTGTTTGTAAACCTAAAAAACACAAATCAATCTAATCCTACAGTTGAATAGATTTTAACTTTGCTAAGCATTTGAGCTTAGTTTGGTATCTTGAAGCAATCCCCTTCTCCAGAAATCACCCTTGCTCTTCTGAACAGAATAAATCAGACACAAGCAGAAAAATGGTGTCGCCACTCCCCTTCTCCTATGAGTGACAGGCTGTGCTGAAGATGAGACCAGCATGAGCCTCCATGTAGTACACTGCAAAGGGGTGGGTGAGCAGGTGTCTTCTCTCTGCTGGTATCTGCCTTCACAAGATTGACAACATGATTGTTCTTGAGGCTGGAGGGTGTGTATAATTGAGGAATTGTGTGACATGACATCTCCGCCTACTATTCTTTGGTCCTAAACTATGCCCACAGTCCATCAGTTTTTGGAGGGCTGAGACTAGCTAAGGGAGCATTTTTCTGAGGTACACTCACAGCGGTATGTATGTTTACATTAAAATGTATTCATTTATGGCAAATAGTACATTTTTTAATAATTGCGTTTACAACCACTTTATGGTCTGTTTTGGCTTTGTCATTAAGGAGTTAACCTGTGCTGTGGTACATTTGAAATCCTTATAGGGAGCAAGTTTTATATAGCTAAATCAGTGTGAATATTTTTTGTGTGGTCAGTCTCTGTGTCAAATTTTAAAGAAGCAGCATTGAATATTTATTGCTTTTGAAATTATACACATATTCAAATATTTATCCCTACCTCTAGACTTTGGGAGCAAGCCTATTCAAAAATGCTTTTTGGAAATAATAATAATGGCACACACGGCACACACACTGAAATTTAGCGTGAACTAACCTGTATGACAGTTTCTTCTACTCTGAAGGGGTTTTTTCTCCTGCTTTAGAACATACTGTATATTCAGTATATGTAGCACCCTCCTAGATAGGTGCTAGGATTAGATAAATACTGTCACGGCTACCCTTAATGCAGGTGGTCAGACACTTTAGCTAGCTTCTGTGTTCTTCACCTATAGCAGTTCCATTTCCATTAAGGCAAGCAGTCCAGTACTTAGTTGCCCCCAGGACTTATACGCAATGCTATAGTGCCTGGCCATCTTGCCCAGGCAGGCTTGAGCAAAGCAAACAGATACTTGCAGTTGGTAAACAGGCACAGTAGTTCAATGACAGTCCAGGTACAAGACAGGCAAGGTAAAGGGTATTCAGGGTCAGGTACGTAGTCAAAAGTCAGGCAGTATTCAGAGAACAGTCGATATCTGATCCGAGGTCATACGAAGGGAAATCCAACCAGCAGAGCAGACAAACAGAGAGCTTGGAGCATGCATTACAAACACAAAATCACAAGCATGAGACTGCAGGCTTTACTGGCTAAAATCACCTTGCAGGTGGACAGACAGGGATGCATCATAGCTAACCCAGAATCACCAGAATCTATGAAAGCTGAGAGGTGATGAGAGAACGTGGCAGAACTAAGTTGCGCAGGAATAAATAGTTTGTCTCGGGGGGAAGCTGGCACCATATGATCTAGTGAAGCAGACCCCACCCGCACTAGACTCTTGGTTCTTTCCCAGCTTATTGATGCAGCTGGTGACAAAGTGGCTGTGGTCACCACAGTATAAGTAGAGTCCCTGGGATCTTCATCTAGTCTTTTCCCCCAGAGGATAAATGAGTAGCACCAATTTGCATGGGCTCCTCCTCCTGGGGAAGTTGAGGGAACCCTGGAAGGTCTGATGAAGAAGAGGTGGGCAAGAAACAAACCTCTCTGTATGCCGTTCTCGTAAACACCTGCCTATACAGATGGCTACTTGCATAGCTTCATTCAACATTTTTGATTCATTGTAGTGTACTAAGGAGTCCTTGATGGAGTCCGATAAGCCTAACCTGAACTGACTTCCTAGAGCTGGGTCGTTCCACCCTGTGTCAGGTGAAATCAGAACAGTATTGCTCAGTGGTGCGTTTATCCTGATGTAATGACCTAATGTTAGTTTTTGCTGAGTGGGCATGGTCAGCATCATCATAGAGTAAACCCAGAGCCTTGAAAAATACCTGGACTGACCCTTGAGCTTGGTTATCTGTGGGGAGACTAAAAGCCCAAGACAGGGGGTCCCCCTGAAACCATGTAATAATCATATTAACCCGCTGTGCTTCAGAACCAGAAGAATTTGGTCTAAGCTTAAAGTGTAGCACACAACTGTTTTTAAAGTTAGAAAACATATTGGGGTCACCATAAAAACGATCAGGTGGGTTCCTTGTTGCTGCTAGAGGTGCATTTAAATGCACAGACAGTTCCTGGACCTGGCGTGTCAGTTTGTAAATATCCTCAGCAAATAAATGAGTCTGTGTAAAGTCCATCTTCACAGAAAAAGTTTCGTGCTAAAGGCTTGTGATAATGTCATGCCTACCCCTAATGTAGGTGGTCAGACACTATAGCTGGCTTCTGTTTTCTTCATCTATAGCAGCCCCCTTTCCATTAAGCATGGACTTTCAAGCATGGACTTCGTCATAGCTTATCTGAAAGAATACTTAAATTCTTCAAATGTACATAGTTCTTGTTTTTTGGAGTATCCAACATAATTCCCTCAACCCTATCCAAGTCTCCAATAATAAAAAACAACAAAAACAACAACCCTAGAATGGTGATTGAGGAAAAGTGTGAATGAGCCTATGTGCCTGACTGCAGGGCAAAGCTTTTGGGGAAGACTTGGACAGTATTCCTGCTGCTTTGATGTCTGTCAAGTTCATTGTCATTACAACTCCTGAAATTAAGGGCCAACAAAACAACTGTTGACAAGGTTGCCCCCGAGCAGTGGTTACTAAACTTTTTTCAGTCAAGGCACCATTTAAAAGTCTGCACAATCTTGAGGTACTCCATTCTAAAAAGTTAAAAAAGAAATTAATAGTTTTACATAATGCAGAAACATCCATTCACATTGGTCACCCAACATTAGAAGTGATTTATTTTTCCTATGCAAACACACCTTAATTTGCACACTGGTGTTGACTAGTAACTGCAATGTTTCTCCTCTCCCTCAGTTTCTCTCTCAGCTAATGTGACGCCAATGATGACAGAGAGGGGCAGGGAAGGGGCAAACAAAGATGTTGGGCAGGCACCCAACATCCTTCTTATCACCCAATGACATCATTGGTTGTTAAGGCTCCGACGACTAAAAAGTTCTAATGGTGCACAATATAAACCTGTGGATTTGTGTAACTTAAAGGTAGGCTTCATCCACCTGCTGGCTTATATACAAATTTAGCACAATTTTTGGGCATTTTGCCAAGGCACCCCTGAAGAAACCAGAAGACTCTCTGGTTGTAAAAAGGCAGGCCCAGGGGATGAATGAAGAACATTAGTCCTGTGATATGTCAAAATATTCAGTATATGAACTCAAATATATATCGCTTTTTTATATGTGGCTACCACACACATATACTGTAAATGAATGATGCTTAATGCTAATATTTTATAGTACATCCAATACACAGGTCTTGTAGTGAAACAGAGTGGAACAATACTCTAAGCACAAATTAAATATTGCCAAAGTCATACATACAGTACATGAAATCTCTCCTCTTTCTGTGAAGCCTCAAACCTTTTTCTGCTGCATTATGGATATGTGTAGCTGACTATAGCTAATGGGTGAAAGAAGGGAATACAGAACAGCAGCTTTGAACACAGAGAACATTAATTCAGAACAATAACTGAATAAAAAAGAACAGAGCAGCACAAAAACGAAAAAAAAAAAAAAAAGAAGGCTTAAAAAATTGAACTTTCGTAAGAGAATGCACATGGAATTAGACTTATTCATACCTGACCAATATGCCAGAAATAAGAAAAGAAAAAAAAGTTCAGATAAATATTTAGTACACTCACCTCTCATAGCAAAAATTGCATGTTGTGTCTCCCAAGCCATTTAACAATTAGTCCAAGAAGACTGCTTATTGAATTTTCATGGATCATGGGTTTGTGATGGTTGATCAGGTGCCGTGCTGTAGGGTTACTCAACTGTATTCATCAGCTCTCACCAAAGGCAGGAAATGATCTATGATCAAACAGTGTGCACACTTGAATGGTGAAAAATGTATTGGATCTAGAAAATCACCTTTTAATATATTTATAGAGGGAAGCACATCCAAAACCTTTTTACTAGTAAAATGTTTTCAGTTTAAAATACACATTTATAAAGATTGAAATGATTTGTCCACGTAATGGAGGATTTGTCTTATTTAAAGGATAAGTTCACCTTTCCATAAAAAATAATAAATGCACATTTTTGTGCGGGTAAAAAATAAAGTGCATTTATTATTTTGTGTTAGGGGCCTGTAAAGCATTGCACCAGTGGTCAGCAGATCGCTGATTCCATGCAGGTCTCCTGCACACTGTCAGTGTTTCTACTTGCTCCTACAATCCGTACGGGGAAGCCGATACTTGCAAACAGGAAGACTCAATGAACTACCACGGCACTCACAGCACTGTGGTAGTTCATTGAGGACTACAAGCCGACAGCTGCTAAGGCTGTCGG